ATATTGCAGTTAATAGAGATAATACTAATATAATAAAATCATCTACATATAGCACATCTGCTCCGGGCTCCATCTTGCCCAATGCATTCAATTCAGTCAAGTGTCCTATTTCATTGTTTTTTGAGTCCGGATTTTCAAAACGATAATCAAGGATAGTGCTCTCTTGAGGAGATGTCAAATATTATGGTAATGCTAATCGCGACACATTCAGTAAATTTGATTCATTCCGTGGTCAATTGATGAAAGTTAGCCTTTATTTGTATTCGTTTGTACATAGGATTAAAAGAAGCAAATAATGTAACGTAGTCCCAAAATGATTTTTAGCCCACAGATGAGAATCGATATTCAGTACTTCTTTGAGCATGCTACTGCAAGCCAAGAAATACCACCCCTGAGTTTGAGTTTATGAGCATTGAATAATAAAAGGAATATTTTGGTATCCTACTGTTTAGGAGTCATGTCATATTTTTGAGATCATATCCTCCACTAAAGACTATATTTTCTGCAGAGTCCTCTAGGTCAGTTTGGATTCTCTGCTCAAGGTTTGTAGATATTTTAAAATGTGCACTCCTTCATCTCATTAATTTGACTCGATACATTCACCACTTTTCTTTTAACTCTATGTTAGTCCATTATTTATCCCTAGGTTCATAGCCAAATCTAGCCTTTTAAAGAGACATGAATTAGCTATGTCGAATTTACTAAAAATAAGTTATTCATGTTTAGCTGTCCCGATTTTTTCGCATGCCCTCTAACATCAAATTTTCATTATCATATTTTATTTATTACCGGCAACTTTGATAAACTTGTAAGATGATGTAATCACATTAAGTTTATAATATTTGAGGGCTTAAGAATAAGATACGCATTTTCAGTTCGATTTAGGATAGGAATGAGCAGTAATATGGATAAAAGTTGGTAAATAAAATCGCACAAAGCGCAGATAGAGGGACAGCATTGCGAACCATTAAAACAAAATTTATCATCTGTTTAGTGATAATGAATGATCCGGATCAGACGACTGCCGAATGAGATTGGTGCATACGAAGCATTTACAGTCGTCAGGGCACCTGATCGAAGGGAATACAGGTATAAGATTCTCGAAAGCCAACTGAGGATATGCATTGGCAACACCAAGAAAGGGGCTACAAGATGATATAAATAGGGATAGAAAATAAAAACGTATAAAGATGGGCACATATTTGTTTGATTTGATAAACTTAAAATTAACAAAAAAAATCAAGATTTAACCTATTAAATAGCGAAACGAGTTTATTTCAGAGGGCCCACAAATTTGATAAGCTCAAAAAACTTCTTTCTTCGGTTTTTGGAGATCAAAAATAGCCAAGAACAAATGCTCACTAAGCTTGGAATTTGAAAAACAATTTCATTTAGGTGTAAAGTAATAAGTCTAATGAATTTTACCTACTTTGAAGCTCGACTAAACGATAATTGTATTTAAAGGCAATAAGTTACCTGCTAGAATAGAAAAAATAAGCTAAAATATCTAGATTAATGAGTATCAATCAAGTGTAAAAATAGGTACTTATTCGCCAAAGGATCGCATTAAATTTATCTTGTCGCTATTTGCATAATATATTATTTTCGAATGCCTTTATAGATGTATTAGGTTTAAATATGTGACATAGGCGACAGCTTGACTAAGTATTGAAGAGCTCGCTAAATCATAAGCTAAATCTATATAATTATTCATTGCATGTGCATAGCTCGGATGTGAATGATATAAAGTTATTTCATAGTAGTCTCATTAAACAAAACCGCTGATACAAACAAGAGTCTAAGCCATATGCCAAAAATCGACAAGTGATTTTTGAATAAAATTAAACCTTAGTATGCAACTTCATCTAAATGAAAAAAACTCACCCAGCACAATACTTGGTGACTACCTGCCTACGCAACATGCTGCCACCTGGAGAAGTGCAACGAGGTTGGCCTGTTTCATCCTCCTCTTCCTCCTCATCGTCATCCCCATCGGCTTCTTTCATAATTTTCCCCATAATAGGCACAGAGTGCGTTGAAAGCGTAGATAAGACTTCGTCTTCCCGGTTGGCAGACATCTAAGAGAATGATTAAAGTCGACACATATAAGTGAAAAGAGAGATCATGAGCGCACATAAATAGATGAAAATTTTTGAGCCTTTGACGATTTCAAGGAAAATTGTGTTAAGTAGCGTAAGCAAATCAAACCTTCTTTTGGTTTCGACGGCGATCGCGTTCCTGCGCGTTTAGCCGGCCACCTCGAGCTACCTCAGCAATAAGTCGCATGGCGATGGCATGATAACGTAAGGCTAGTGGTATTAACTCAGCCTCGCGATACCCAGTCAAGTGTTGCAATACCGGCGGCCAAAAAGGGCGACGCTGCGCTTCCTCAGCTTTCATTGCAGTCAGCTCAACCCTGATCGTAGGGTCAAGCATGCGCCAGTGACACGGCTCAACACCACCAACAGCATTATCCGCAGAAGCTGTACAGCAAGAAACGCAGTTCCCTATACATGAAGTAGTTGGAGTAACTGAGGCTTGGGTCATGCTACAATGACAACAGGTGCCTGTGAGTAGACCAGGCGAGTGGTGGCCTACGGTGGGAATTGAGTAGCCAGTGCTAAGGCTACGCGTGAACTGAGGATGGAGGAGTGGCTCCGTAATTAGACAGGGAGAAGATGACGATGAGGTGGCGTTAGATACCGAGTAGTAGCTACTATAAGAGTTTGAACATGAACGGCAATTAATAGATCCAGCAGTTAAGATGCGAGGCTGGCTGGCGTAACCAGAAGAAGCTGCATCATCAGAGGTAGGCCGAGTGCGGATAAAAGCATGATGGCAGCTGCAGTAAGGACCAGTTGAAGCAGAGACAGTCGGGGCTGTGAGGGAGATAGGGTTTTCCGGCCGGATCTGATAATCACTCCAAGAACGGCTAAGAGAGGCATACAAATATTAAGATTAAATTGTGATAACATGGGTTTATATGCAGATTTTATTAAAATGCATAAGTTAGGTAATAGTATGTGCTTGCTCCCGATTAAATAACTAGCATTTCTTGCATAATAAATTAGTCTGTCGTTTGATGTGATTTAATGACTGTTAATAGGGGTCGGGTTGCCTAATAAAAAGATGTCTTTAAATTTATCATATTTGCATCTGAGAAGACGTTCCTATAGATGGATGGCTGTACATTCATCTAGCCTAGGTCTAATCAACACCCCCAACAGGAATTCAAGCTGATTTATGCCCATCGTAGTGACATATTAATGAGGTAATGCCTATGAAAGGGATACCCGCCAACATCCAAAATAGATTATCTGAACACAGAGCAGTCTGAAAAGGTATACAAATGCAAAAAGATTAAATGGCTGAAAACATGACTAATACAGGACACAAAATAGAATGGTTTAAAACAATGTTTTGGTGGCCTGGAACTTAAGTACGCGATCCTATAAAGTGAAATGAAATAGAAAATATTGAAGAAAACGAGTATGATAGATATAATGATCATATGTGGCTTCTGGATAGGCTTAAAATAAATGAAGATACAAAGAAAAAAGATGTGGCTTCTATTTTGGTCGCAGTCTCCTTTCGATGTATATTAGTTGTTTAACCTTGTTTTCGCAACTTGGACATATTGTCAGGAAGACTTAGAGGAACACACCTTGTCCGAAGTCCATAGTATGCATGATCATTTCAGGTCGGATCGTGTACTTGGTACATTCCCTAAGTCACGGTCTGACTCTGAAAATAATCATGCATACTATGGACTCCGGACAAGATGCGTTCCTCTAGGTTTTCCAGCAAATATGATTTATTCTTTAATGTTGACGCAGGTTTAGCTATGCGATCGTACATTAATTGCGGATATTTGTTTTAGGAGCAATGTTAGATCTCATTCGAGGCCTTTTGAACCATCTATCTTAAGTAGTTGTTCGACCTTGTTTTCTCGACTTGGTCATAGTGGCAAGAAGACCTAGGGGAACGTACCTTGTTCGGAATCCATACGATGTATGATCATTTTCAGTAAAATCGTGAACTTGGTCTATTCTCAGACGTTTCGCCGGCATCGTCAATGAGTCTTGCCATTCTTAGCATCAAGCTACAATTCATCAAGGAGACAAGAATGGCAAGGCCTACCGACGATGCCAACGAAACGTCTGGGGACGCACCAAGTTCACGGTCCTACTTGAAATTATCATGCATACTATGAACTCCTGACAAAGTGCGTTCCTCTAAGTTTTACTACTAATATTACCAAGTTGCGAAACCAAGATTAAGCAACTTCTATAAAATGAAAGGAGACCGCGACCATACAAAAGATCACGACATCCTGGTCTTCCCACCTTCGGCTAAACTAGTGAAGAATCAAGTTCATTTATCTATGTAAGAAAATAGGTGTAATCACATCCACATCCTATACGCGTACTAAATTCATTCGACAGCATAAACGTAGATTAAACCTGAAGTAATAAATCAAATCATGAAACCTAAATGCCTAATCACAATAGGACAGGGGTAAAGATGTAAAAAGACTGAAGATCAACTGTGATATATGCAAAATGTTGGTTAACTAGACATTTATTACAACTTAATCATATAAAAATTCTAACTATGCTGGAAAGAATAGCTTAGAAAAGTGATTATAAGCTGACCTGATGTGATTGTCGAGAGGTAAGGTAAGCGGCGTGAGCGCTCGGGCTGTAAGGAGACCTCGAGATTTGGAGAGAACAGTTTTCTCAAAACAACTGCCCATCGAGAGACACCTAGATAATCGAGCCGCATCAAGGCGAGCAGTTGTACATCCACAGATTGGCGGATTGGCTCGAATTAAGTTAGGTGGATCAGCAGATTGTGATACAGGAGAAGAATTATCATGGGGAGGAGTGGTACCGGCTGATGTGGTTCGAGAGCGTTGTGTGAAGGATAATCAAGCACAATGAAGATAGAAGGAACAATATAAAATTCAAAAAGGATTTACAATGAATTAATATAGGATCATAATCCAAAATCCTTTAGCTCTATAGTATTGGTCTGATCTTGTTTTCGCAACTTTGTCGGAGCAACAGGAAGACCCTGTGGAACTATCACGTCCTGTGTCCTCTGCCATAGTATTCGGGATTTACAGCATTTACAATACCATTAACTTGGTACATTGCCAACCCCTTCACCGGCATCATTAGAGGCACTATCGTTAGCACAGAGTTACAACTTATCAGTGACAAATGAGGGCAATTCCCTTGACCTTTCCCCTCTTTCCTACTACACCGCTTCACATGATCCATTTACCTATTCACATCGTTGTTTCGTTCCCTCCAATATTGCTAAGAATGTAGCTACGCGCGGATTTAGTGGAGCATACTCACCTTCACCACCGGTTTCAAATGCCGCTTGCAGGGCTTCTGACCTCCATTTAGCCCCCTTTCCACTCCGCTTGTAAATTGGTCCATGCTTCATATGAAAATCGTTGTCTGGCTGTCTGAAATCTGTCTGCCTATGAGCCTTCAATACTCGTGACAGTCTAGGTCTTATTCCAGGATCTAAAGCCGGCGACTACAATGCTTAAGCATCTTCCTCTGCTCAGGCTTCAGACCCATAAACCAATTATCCTCTTTTTCATCCCCAACACCATTGTATATCGCATTCTTTGGGCTCTGCGCCCGGATTAAATCGGAACAACTGGTGTGAATAGCGTAAAGCAGTCCTATCTAAAATACTATTTAATCCTAAGGTACTGGTCAGTTGTTAATGCGTTCATTGGCTGGTATACCTCTAGTCAGACATGCCGCCAGTCACCTCTCATTAAGACATACACACGAAAAATGCACACGCAAACACACATGCTCATACTGGAAACTAACTGATATTGTGCACCCCAGGCCGGTTTCCACACCCTGATGAACTTGATATGGGCCTATATCTTTAGCCTAGAGCTCTTCTTGTGTATAATCTGCTAAATTCTGGCCTTTAATTTCTATCACACATTCCAAAGATAGGCCCACACCCGTAGCTTTTCAGATTGATTCAAAGTTTTACTCCTCTCAGTGCAATCGCCTTTACTTGACCTACATTTCCCCCTCATCCTTCACGTCTTGACTACATCTCTTCCTCTTTTTGAATAGATTTCCCTAGTCCGAGTGTCTTCTTATAGTTGCCCTTGTAGAATATCAAAGTCTGCCAGGCAGTAGACAAAATCATCACTGACCCTTCTCTATTCCAATCTTCTTTTTGTCAATATGAGATGTATTCACCCAATTTCGTTTAAGGTGATGAAGTACTGGTAGAAGAATTTTTCCACAATGAAATGAGCTGAGCTAATATTCCCATTGAATTTCACATAGCCTTGCTTTCCCAAAGAGTTGTTCACATCCAGGGTGGACTGTAGTTTCGACCTCGCATCAATCTTATCGACATCCTCACCGGGATTCGAACCGCGACAGTACAGGATGGGAGCTTGACGCACTAACCACTTGGATACACTGCCGCGAGCGCTTTTTGGGTCACAGGGCAAATGTGAATTTTCAAGGAAGGCCTGGCCTTTTTGCCATATCATATTCTTTTGGTGGAATTGTCGATGAAGCAAACGTATATCTGCTATAACAATCGATTACTATACTTTATTTTTCGAATTAAATATTGTTTTCGTGACTACCAGTAAATTAGTAATATGAGATGTATTCACCTAAAGGTGGTGAAGGACTGGTAGAAGAATTTTCCCTATCCTAGCTCCTCTTGTATATAATCTGCTAAATTCTGGCCTTTAATTTTCTATCACACATTCCAAAGATAGGCCCACACCTGTAGTTTTTCAGATTGATTCAAAGTTTTACTCCTCTCAGTGAAATCGCCTTTACTTGACCTACATTTCCTCATCCTTCACGTCTTGACTACATGTCTTCCTGTTTTTAAATAGATGTCCTTAGTCCAAGTGTCTTC